ATGCATCTAGTGAAAACAAGGAAGGAAGGCAACACAGAAGCTGGGACACTGAGGAGCTCCTGATTCACTCAGAGCAGATCAGATTCCAGAACCTTACCCAATGCCTGCAGATCAGCCCCAGCGGTGTGACAGACCCGCCACCAGCATCCAGAGCCCAGGAGCACAGTGCTTGGCTGGCTCTCTCTAAAGCCTGGGTAACGGGACTCCGGCTAGAAAGCCTTGAAAGCTTCTGGTAAACATCACTGAGTCCTCCTTCCCCATCTCTTCTCCAGAAGAGCAATCCAAGAAAATGTCCAGCAGCACAGAGGGAAGCGGCAAAGTGCTGCTCATTTACCTTCAGGAAGCTCCACAGAACCGGAAAACACAGCCCAAGGGCCCCAGGACGCCTGGAGCCCTGCTGCTCAAAGCTTTTCGGCAGCATTAACATCCTTCCTAAGCCACATATGGGGACTACAGGTCTTTCTCTTCTCTGAATTTCATTAAAAATCTCAGAGAGAGTCAAAAAAAAAAAAAAAAAAACCATCCTGATTTGGTCAGATACAGAGGTTTAGGATTTGTAAGTTATTTTATATTCATTTTTTTTACTAAAGCCATTAAAACTTCCTTATCAAATAAGTATTCATGGAAGCCCTAAGAATAATCATTTTTAGAGCCAAACAGATCTTGATTTAAATCCCAACTGTGCAACGTAAAGCCTATGAGACTTTAGACCAGTCTCTTGGTCTCTCGGCCTCAACTCCTCAGGGGTGAGTCAGAGAGAACAGGACTCCCTTATATCATTGTCAAGAGGCTTAAAATGAGACCCACCATGCACAGCACAGGACGCAGGACCAGTTGGCATATAACAAGAATTTAACACATAGCAGAGCCTTCTCCTTACCCTTAGTGCCTTTAAAATATATAAAAATTATATATATATATATATATATATCTTTTAGTCAAAGATGGTAATTGATATAAAAATCTCATTTTAGAGTTACCCATGCTCCCTGGACTTTTACAAAGAGCATCTAATAGGGTGAGCCACATTTGGGGACGCATTTGAGTATCTGGGGCCACATTCTTTTGCCCTGTGATGCCATTAACTCTGATGATTTGTGTGCCCCTCACAGCCAAAAAACAAAAGTTGATTTCACTTTCCCTTGCAGTCACTTGAAAAATTATAACTGCCTCAATTGTCTGCTCTGCCTGCCAAGACCTACGCCTTCAGGCAAATGAATCAACCAGGTTTCTTCTGGGTATAGATTTTAAAGGTGTGAAAAACTTGCCCCTTTTCTCCTTTCTCAACCACCCTCCCATCTCTGCCTCTTGGGGAGCACTTGTAGAGTTAGAGCCTTCTAAGATCTTGTTTACTGAGAGCTCAAGGTGATGAAACTTGGTCTTCAGGCCAGAAGTTAACTCCAGAGGTTCAAATAACATAAGAAAGACTGAGATTTTATGATCACTCTGTCAGGTGGGGTGGATGATATCTGTAATCCCCAGGGCTTTGGGAAGCTAAGGTGGGAGGATGCCTTGAGCCCAGGAGCTTGAGACAGGTTTCAATAGGGTATGGACAGAGGGAAGCAGTGTGGACTTGAAGGGTGGACATTTGTTGCCCAGTAAACCACAAACCCTGGAAGAAGGTGGAAGGGCTCTAGACCTGTATTGTTTGCAGTAAAGAAATCAAAACATTGGCCGGGCACTGTGGCTCATGCCTATAACCCCAGGACTTTGGGAGGCTGAGGCAGGCAGATCACAAGGTCAAGAGATTGAGATCATCCTGGCCAACATGATGAAACTTCGTCTCTACTAAAAATACAAAAATTAGTTGGGCACAGTGGTGTGTGCTTGCAGTCCCAGCTATTTGGGAGGCTGAGGCAAGAGAATCGCTTGAACCCAGAAGGCAGAGGTTGCAGTGAGCCGAGATTGCACCACTGCACTCCAGCCTGGTGACAGAGCGAGACTCCATCTCAAAAAAAGAAAAACAATCAAGACACAAAAAAGCAAACAGGAGGCGACAGCCGAAGGCTTTGAAAGAGTGAGAGCCAGACACGCGGCAGGTGCAGACCCTATCCAAGTTCTTTAAGCCAAAGACATTGTTGAAATATTTGGATCACTGGCACCACCTCACAGCAGGTTCTTGTGAAGGTTGTAAGGAGTGAGTTTTGCGTCTTCTAATTGTCATTTAGTGTGTTCCACAGGCAGTCCCTAAGCAGGCACAACAGGAGCATAGCAATGCAGCATAATTTACAAATCCTACTTGGCACTGAGAAAGGCCAAGTTGAGAGGAAAATGACTGGTGTCAATTTTATTGCAGTTTGTGATGGAGTAGAGGTGATGTGTCTGGCTCTTGGATCTGTTGTTGTTATCTTGCCACATGTGAAAGGAGTGTGACACAGTGGTCACAGGCGGGCTCTGCTGTATCTTCTCCAGACTGTGGCTTTGGACAGTTGCCCAATCTCTCTGCTGTGGTTTCCCCTGGGGGTTGAGTGAGTGAATGCATGTGGAGTACTAGATGGTGCCCAGGTCCTGCTGAGCATTCATAAAGTCCACCAATCCGTGTCACTGTCCATTTAACCAAAAATGGGGCCACACACCACCTGCAGCCCCTACCACCAGCTTGGCAGCATCCACAAATGTGCAGTAGCAATGGTTGATTGTGGCCTGTTGAAGGGGCCCCATGGGCATACTGCATTTCTGTCCAAATTCAGGGCTCCTCATGGATTTATAGGATTGGCAGCTGCAAGTCAGCAATGCACAGCAACTGAAGCTGGGTTTCCAAACCACTTGTTTCCAAGAAATGTTACAACCACTGTCAACATTTCCTTTTTTTTCATCAATTTTACCATCAAATGGATCTGAGATTGGAAATATGTACTAATTCTGATTACACTTAATGGACTCATAAGATATGGGGAATCTCTGTCCCAGCAGAGCCTCCATACAAGGTCCATCCCGGTCACATGGACCCTATATTAACCAGGATGGGCCTATGTTAACCAGGATGCTGCAGAGGAAAAGAACCAACAGGAGATGTATAGAGATATAAAGAGATTTATTATAGGGAATTGGCACACACAATTACGGGCTGGGCAGTCCCAGGCTCTGCACCCAGCAAGCTGGAGACCCAGGAAAGTGGATAGTGTGTTCCAGTCTGAAAACCAGCAGATGTGAGACCTAAGAGGAGCTCATGCTTCCGTGCTAGTCTGAAGGCAGGAAGAGGCCAGAGTCGCCATCAGGCAGTCAGGCAGGAGGATCCCCCTAGTCCTTGAAGAGCTGTTCTGTTCTCCTCTGGCCTTCTGCTGATCGAACGAGGCTCACCCACATCCCGGAGGGCCTCTGCTTTACCCAGTCACCGGTTCAAATGTGCATCTCATCCAGAAACACCCTCAGACACACCCAGAACACTGTCTCACCACATACCGGGCACCCTGAAGCTCAGTGAGGCTGATACATTAACACTGACCACCACAGGTCCCCTCCCAACCCCGAGGCTTCCCAGCAGGTGGGACACAGCACACAGGCTTCCCCGAGCCTGGGCAGGAGGCACAAAGGTGGCTCATCCCTCTCTGTCCGAGACTGAGGTGGTTCCTGGGATGCAGGACTTCTGGCTTTTAAACCCTGCCCATATTTCAGGCAAACAGGGTAAATTGGCCATTCCAGGCAGAACCCTAGCAGCAGCTACTCCCTGTCAATCCCCTCCTTCCACACCCACAGAACTCACAAACCTCCAGCTGAGCAGTTGACCTCTGCCCCAGTCCTTTCCAAGGAAATTTGTTCCTTTCCAAGATGATTCCCTAGAGTGAGGCTGTGGTGGGCTCCCCGTGGACTTCAGATCACAGGCTGTGCTCCCAGATTTGTCCTCCCTGGGAAGTATCTTTTCCTCACGGAGTGGTGCTGGCATCCCCCACTGTCGACTGCCACAGTCAACTTCACCCCAGACACACCAAAAATAAGAACTCTCTAGAAATACCAGTCCCGGGAGTTGGACTTTGAAACAGAAGCGGTAACAAGCATTGCAGTCATCTTTGGGAATGATACATCCACACCTTTGCCATTATCCCACAGGCTGGGGGTGGTCAGGCAGTGGCCCAGGGAGACGAGCAGTGAGAAGGAAGAGACCTAAACCTCTCCCGAGTTCACTGAGCCCAGCCACCGCCTCCTAGTCGGAGAGGCAACTGTGGGCTCTCCTATTCACACATGGACCTTTCCTTGCTTTACCTCTTTTCTCATCAAGGCACCACTGCTGTCCATCCTGTCATCCCACACTCACGTGTGTTCATGAGAAGGATGGGAGGGAAAGTAGGGCAGCAAAGAATAATCTTTGCTATCATCTCTCAGCTCAAAATTCCACTAAAGCTCTTTCTCACAAAGTGCTTAAGATGAGGGCCCAGTAAATTATTTTACTTAAATTACAACACTTTATAAATATTTTTATAAATATAAAAGGTACAAGTGCCGTTTTGCTATATAGATATACTGGATAGTGGTGAAGCCTGGGCTTCTAGTGTATCCGTCACCCAAATAACATACATGTTACCCATGAGGAAATTTCTTATCAGCCACCCCCTCCCACCCTTTTGAGTCTCCAATGTCCATTCCACACGTATGCATTATTTGTATAATGCATCCACATATATGCATTATTTAGCTCCCACATATAAGTGAGAGCATGTAGTACCTGACTTTCTGTTTCTGAGTTATTTTACTTAGATAATGGTCTCCACTTCCATCCGTGTTGCTGCAAAAGGCATGACCTTATTCTTTTTTATAGCTGAAGAGTACTTCATCGTGTATATTTATGACATTTTCCTTATCTCTTCACCCATTGATGAACACTGGTTGATTCCATATCTTTGTTATTGTCACTAGTGCTACAATAAACATACGTATGCAAGCTCTTCCTAATGTACTGATTTATTTGTATTTTTATGAAGCAAATAGAGTTTCCTAAAGTGAATATGGCTGGTTTGTATTTTCTAGTGTACTTTCAACTAATATTTCTGCATACTCTCTTTTAGGTGATTGGAAGATTTTAACTTAGATCTCCAGCAAGTGCTACAAGAAAGAAAAGATCCTGAACAATCACCAAATTTTCTGTGAGGTCAAGTCCAAGTAACAACCCTGCCTAACCACAAGCAGGAGAAATGAAGCACATTTTCAACCCATATGAAAATGTCAACAACACAGCAAGAAATGATTCTGACTGTCCTCGTGTGGTTTTGCCAGAAGAAATATTTTTCACAATTTCCATTGTTGGAGTTTTAGAGAATCTGATTGTCCTGCTGGCTGTGTTCAAGAATAAGAATCTCCAGGCACCCATGTACTTTTTCATCTGTAGCTTGGCCATTTCTGATATGCTGGGCAGCCTATATAAGATCTTGGAAAATATCCTTATCATATTGAGAAACGTGGGCTATCTCAAGCTGCATGGCAGTCTCGAAACCACAGCCGATGACATCATCGACTCCCTGTTCATCCTCTCCCTGCTTGGCTCCATCTTCAGTCTGTCTGTGATTGCCGCCGACCGCTACATCACCATCTTCCATGCACTGCAGTACCACAGCATCGTGACCATGCGCCGCACCGCAGTGGTCCTTGCACTCATCTGGACGTTCTGCACGGGGAGTGGCATCGCCATGGTGATCTTCTCCCATCGCGTGCCCACAGTGATCACCTTCACGTCGCTGTTCCCGCTGATGCTGGTCTTCATCCTGTGCCTTTATGTGCACATGTTCCTGCTGGCTCGATCCCACGCCAGGAAGATCCCCACCCTTCCCAGAGCCAACATGAAAGGGGCTATCACACTGACCATCCTGCTTGGGGTCTTCATCTTCTGCTGGGCCCCCTTTGTCCTTCACATCCTCTTAATGACGTTCTGCCCAAATAACCCCTACTGCGCCTGCTACATGTCTCTCTTCCAGGTGAACGGCATGTTGATCATGTGCAATGCCGTCATTGACCCCTTTATATATGCCTTCCGGAGCCCAGAGCTCAGGGATGCATTCAAAAAGATGATCTTCTGTAGCCGGTACCGCTAGAGTGACTGATCCCTCATTTTAGAATCTATGGGAATAATGTTGCCAAGTGACAGAATAATGTAACATTCCAACAAATGCCAGTGCTCCTGACTGGCCTTCCTTCCCTAATGGATGCAAGTGTGATCCCACCAGCTAGTGTTTCTAATAGCTAGGTTCTGTGTGAACAGTCTTATTGTAGGGACAACTTTTAAACTTTACAACTGGAGAGATAAAACAATGTAGTAAAAAAAGGATAGAATACAAAGTATTAGGTTCATTCAAATATAATTATGGTTTTTGCCATTACTTTTAATGACCAAAAGTTGTGATTACTTTTGCACCAACCTAATACAAACAGCAATAAAAACTCAAGACCTTTGGCTAAGGCAAAGGATTGTTTTCCTGTGGACTCTAGCAAGCCAGTCCTGGGGAGGCACAACTCCAGGAAGTACAAGAAAAGAGCCCCAATACATATTTTAAGGAACAGAGAGACAGACAGACGAGAGAGAGAGAGAGAGAGAGAGAGAGAGAGAGTGTGTGTGTGTGTGTGTGTGTGTGTGTGTGTGTCCCATGCCTTTGGACTATGGGGAAAACCAAAACAAGACTTCAAGCAACAGTGCCATGATTAGAGACCCAAGCCAAAGACCAAGGGAAGGAAATGACAGCTGCTTCTGCAGATGAGTGTGAAAGCAGATCCAGTTACTGGGAAATGTCATCCTCTCATCAGCCAAGATTCTGGCTATCAAAGAGTGGCACCCCCAATAGGAGTAAAAGAAACATAATTTTCAAGTTCATCCATTTTTAATAGCTAAAATAAACTTAAAGAAGAAGCACATTCTGATATTAAGTCCCTGCTAAGTTGGAGGGTGACTTGAATAGGATGAGTGGCAAAAGGACCAGAGGAGAACAGCAGGTCTTCAGAGGCCCAGGCTCAGGATCTGCAGGACCAGTGGTGTTTTCTGGAAGAGACAACGCTTTGTCCTCAGGAGAGTTTCCCAGAGCTGCTGAGAGGAGAAGACACTCACACACAGGACCAACCATGTGGTGATGGGTCTGATATTAGATGTGACAGTGACAGGAACTTCAGAAGCAAAGCAGGCAGCTGGAGGCACGTGCCACAGATGGAGGTGAAAGCCAGAGTGCACCTTGTCCTCTGTTCCATAGAAATCCTTCCCTATTTGACCGTTCTTCTGCCAAACAGACTATGTTACTCTAACACTAACCTGTATTTATTAATATATAAGATACTATTCATAAGTTAATTTTCCATGAGATTTAAAGCACAACGCTATAACTGATTTTTAAAGTGTTATTTCTACAATTGAAAAAGTAATGTATAACATATTTTATGTGACTAAAGTGAGTATCCTCAATAAGACGTAACCTTTCTTTGATGTTGCACTGCTCTGTGATACCACAAAGGTAAGCAATGCCACTTAACCTCTATTATAAGTAGTCCCAAATTGCTTTTCCTATAAAATTCTTTGTCAACAGCTTTGCTGTCTCCTGATCAATCTCAAGCTCTCTGCTGTGAGTGTGACTGTTGACAAGGAAAATCACCAAGAAACTTCACCTCTCACTGCCTTTGATTTGTTGCATTTAATCTAAGAAACAAAATGAGAATGGTTAATCTAATGGTGTATGAAACAAAAGCGAAGTCTGAGTGCTAATTCAGAAATTTTTCAACTCTAGACATTTTCAATTTAAGGTCTTCTGCTATGTTCAAATCAGAAAAGAAGCTTCAGGGCTCATAGTTATTGAGAAAATTAAGGTTTTTCTAACTCTAACTTCATATGGAATTCCAAATGAAAGCAGCACCAAACTGCACATATTTGTGTAAGAAAGATCAACAAGGTTCAGATTTTTCCCGTGAGGACTTTATTCTTTTATCAGATTATCCAATTTTTAAACTGTGTGGATGCCTTAAGTGTTAAGCTTTATCAATAACCTAACCAGATAGTTGAAAATGCCCAGGACGTGTACTCAAACTGATAGTAATTTTGAGCCCTGCCTAAAAGAGGAAAGATGCTTCCTCTTCGCCTCCTTATTTTCTCATCAGGTTATGGACAGACAGATGTTCAGCAAACTCTGCAGCTGCCGCTGCAGCCGCACATGTGTTGAGTTGAGGTGAGAAGAGCATGGGTTAGGAGCCCCTGAGAAGCACGAGCAAACCAATCCGTGAATTCTGAAACATTGTCAGAGTTGCTGATGTTTTTGTGGCTGTAGCAAGATATCTAGTAATAATAATAAAAATGATAATAGCAATAATATTGGTACCTATCTATTACTGAGCTTGCTGCACAGAGCTTGCTCAGCAGGTGCTATAAGCCAGGTATTGTTCAAAGAGTTCTGCATGCATTAATCCTCATGACTACCCTAAGGACAGACATATTAGTTTGTAGGTGAAAAAGCTGAAGTTCAGAGACAGTAACCTCTGTGGCAGGCCGACTCTAAGGTGGCCTTCATAACCCCTCCCCGTGAACTGTGAATAGGTCTGTTACTTGCTCTAACTTATGGAATGTGGCAAATGTGACGGGATGTCACTCTCGTTATTACAGTCCATTATCTAAAACCCTGTCTTGGCCAGGCATGGGAGCTCATACCTGTAATCCCAGGGCTTTAGGAGGCCAAGGTGGGAGGATTGCTTGAGGCTAGGAGTTCAAGACCAGACTAGGCAACATAGGGAGAAATCATCTCTACAAAAAGTAAAAAAATAAATTAGCTAGGTATGGTGGTATGTGCCTGTAGACTACTCAACGACACTGTCACTAAAAGAAAAAAAAAATAATCTTGCGAGCAGACTTGTTAGAGAAACTCTTCTTTCTGGCTTGATGAAATAAGTGAATATGCTGGGAAACCCCATGTGGCAAGGAACTCCTGGGGCCTCTAGGAACTCCTGGGGCCTCTAGGGACTGCTGGGGCCTCTAGGAACTCCTGGAGCCTGTAGAAACTGCTGGGGTCTGTAGGAACTTCTGGGGCCTCTAGGGACTGCTGGGGCCTGTAGGAACTTCTGGGGCCTCTAGGAACTGCTGGGGCCAGTAGGAACTGCTGGGGTCTGTAGGAACTTCTGGGGTCTCTAGACACTGCTGGGCCTGTAGAAACTGCTGGGGCCTGTGGGAACTTCTGGGGCCTCTAGGGACTGCTGGGGCCTCTAGGAACTGCTGGGGCCTCTAGGGACTGCTGGGGCCTCTAGGGACTGCTGAGTCCTCTAGGAATTCCTGGTGCCTGTAGGAACAGCTGGGGCCTCCAGGGACTGCTGGGGCCTGTAGGAATTGCTGGGGCCTATAGGAACTGCTGGGGCCTCTAGACACTGCTGGGCCTGTAGGGACTGCTGGAGCCTCTAGGGACTGCTCTGGCCTGTAGGAACTGCTGGGGCCCGTAGGGGCTGCTGGGGCCTGTAGGGACTGCTGGGACCTGTAGGGACTGCTAGGGCCTCTAGGAACTGCTGGGGCCTGTAGAAACTGTTGCAGCCTCTAGACACGGCTGGGCCTGTAGGGACTGCTGGGGTCTCTAGGGCCTGCTGGGGCCTCTAGGGACTGCTCTGGCATGTAGGAACTGCTAGGGCCTGTAGGAACTGCTTGGGCCTGTAGGAACTCCTGGGGCCTCTAGGGACTTCTGGGGCCTCTAGGAACTACTGGGGCCTGTAGGGACTGCTAGGGCCTCTAGGAACTGCTGGGGCCTCTAGGGATGCTGGTATATCTAGAAACTACTGGGGCCTCTAGAGCCTGCTGGGGCCTCTAGGAACTGCTGGAGCCTCTAGAAACTGCTGGGACCTCTAGAAACTGCTAGGGCCTCTAGGGACTGCTGGATCCTCTAATGACTGCAGGAGACCTCTAGGTACTACAGAAGTGATGCAGGATTTTTCTCGACTCCTTCGTCGGACTTGCAATGGGGGTTCCATATTTACTTGATCCACAGTGCTTAATCCCTTGTGGAAGGGAGCACGTGATCAAGTGAGTTCAGGACCCAGCCAGCCTCTTAGGGTATCAGCAGGAGCAAGCTCTGTGCAGGCCCTGCATTCGTGCCCAGGTGGGGGTACCTGTGACCCCCAAATCTCCAGAGGGTATGTTATAATGTTCTCTTAGCTCCGCTCTCCATGGATAGTGTGATGTTAGCAGTTCGTGGGCCCCTTTCTTCATTGTGTGGGGCTGCTGCCCTCTGCGAGTGAGAGCAAAAGGCCAGTGTGACAGCCTTTTTTTAGGTACCCACATTCGGTGGGTCCTGATCTCTTGGCTGGCATCCAAGAATGGAGTCACTCAGACACTTGAAGGATGGTGAAGGCAGGGAGTTTTATTAAGCAATGGAAATGGCTCTCAACAGAAAGGCAAGCTGGAGAAGGGATGGGACAGGCAGGTAATCTTTCCCTGAAGTCCAGCTGTCCCTCTGAAGTCAAGTCACTTCTCTCCAGTCAAGCCACTTCTCTCTACCTACTGAGTCTGAGATGGCACAGGATGGAGGGTGGGGCAGGTATTTTTGGAAAAGGCAGCATTCAATTGGTACATGATATTATTCAGAAGAACCAATCATGAGAGAGCAGCCAAACAGGAATAGAAGTTCGCACTTTGGGTCCTGAGTTTCAGGCTTTTTGGCTCAAAGGTGGGATTTTCCTGGGGACCCACCCCTGTTTGCCTAGAATTTCTCTGCCTCCTGCCTCTATCAGAAGGGCATCTGGGAATTGCAGGGGGACCTCAGAATTGTAGAGGACCTCTTAGAACTGCAGGGTGGGTAGCCTTTAGGAACAGCAGGGTCCTCTAGGGACTGCAGTTGGCCTCTTGGGGACTGCAGAGAGGCTCTAGGAACTGCAGGGGCCTTTGGGAACTGTAGGGGCCTCTCGGAACTGTAGGGGCCTCTAGGCCACTACACTCCAGCCTGGGTAACAGAGTGAGACCCTATCTCCAACAGACACTAAGTGAAGAGCAGTAACAAGCCCTTGAAACGCAGAAGCATGGGGCCAGTGCTCAGAGGTGCTACAATTTATTATCTAAAGTATCTAGTTCAAAAATATTTATTATATAAAACACCTAGTTCCCAGCAAAACACTATAAGACATGCAAAAAAAAAAAAAAAAAAGAATGACCCACAGCATGGAGATCGGGGAACCAGAGCTGCAACAGAGACTGCCTGGGAGAGCAACCAGATGTCAGATTTAACAGACAAAGATGTTAAAACAGCTATTGTAATGTGAAGAAGTCCAGTACGATAACAACATCCCATCAAATAGAGAATATCAAGAAAGAAATAGAAATCTAGAAAAGAACTAGTGTATTTCATTCCCTGAAATGCTCTAATGCAACAGCAAAAGAAGAAAAAAAAAGAACCAAGTGTAAACTCCAGAAATTATAGTAACTGGATAACTGAAAGAGAATGCAGGAGCAATAACGCAGAAATGATGGCATAAAAAAGACAAATAACCACGTTAAAAAATGGATCAAGCAGCCGAGCATGG